CTGACAGTATGTGATGATATGTTTGCCTGCTGGCTTGTTATGTTATATGCGATAGAGGTAGTAGGAGGGTACCAGTCCCCGAGTTCGATTGTTAGGACCGAAGGGTAGTCAGCACCCCAAAACGGCTTGACATGGGTAGTCAGCACCCCAGAATGGCTTGACACGGGTAGGTCGGCACCCCAGAATGGTTGTACCGAGTAGGTTGGGCACCCTAGAAATGCCTGGCAGTATGTATGCTATGTGATTATATGGTATGTGGTACACTGGAGGGGGAACTCACTAAGCTTCGTGCTTACGGTCTTTAGTTGTTGTTTCAGGTACCTCTTTAGCCAAGGGGAAGGAGCTGGCGCGGTAGCGACATATCACACACACGCTCTTGTTTTTCCGCACTATGAGACATTCTGGGATTTGTACTCTGATATTATTATGATTTACGTTCTGGTTTACAAACGCGAGACATGTTTTATTAAATGACATGGTCGAATGATATTTTGTTACTAACATTTTGCAAATCACTTAATTAAAAATGAAATTTTTGGTCCATAATTTTTGGGATGTTACATTTGCACAAGATTTATTTTGTATCGCAAAATCTATCAATCTATTATGGACGATCTTCCTTTTCAATTGCAAAAAACGCAACCGCATATAATTATTTATAGCTTCAAAGCTTTGAACCCAACTGATTTATGAATTGAAGTAATTGAAGATTTATAGGTTTTTTTTTGAACCCGCCCAATTTGTTGTTTCTATACGCCTATTGATGGGGTTCTTTTTGGAATGCATATGACTTGTTCGATCAAATTGGGTTTCAAATTTTCTATTTTCTTATGAATCTATGAACAATCTCTTTCCTTCAGAGATGACAAGTGAGAGTCGCAAGATCGAGATCGATCATGGTGAAGATAAACAAGTGCATGTGTAATTGTTTTTAATTTGATGTTTCACACTTGCACACCATTTCTTTTCTTTGTGCCTCCACTTTCCGGTCTTTCCCAATTGCAATATGTTTATCCTCTTTCTTTTATTTTTCTCTAAATCACCAATTGAACTAACCCTATACATGGGATGGATTTTAGTATACAAGAAGAAGAGAAGCAAATGCAATTTTGGGTTTCGTGTTGTTTGTGTAGGTGGAAGCAAACAACACATATGTTCGACTTTCTAAAGAAATATATGTGATTAGTGTTTTTCTAGGTTTAGGGTTTCACATTGAAACCATCATTTTATTTCAACCATTTGTAGCTTTGTTTCCTTGTAATTATTCAAAATTTCAAGAACAAGTTTGAAATCCGGTGAACATTTCTGAAATTTCGAAAAAAACCATTTTTTTGATAAAATTGTCAAAAAGTAAAACAAACATAATAAATTGGAAGTACATATCATACTAGGGCTTTAAATCAACATTTATTGAAAAATAATGATAATAAATACTTCGAAATGTACATTTAGTATGTAAGCACGTTGAAAAAAAATTACAAAAAAAAAACCTCTGAAATTTAAAGAACAAATTTGGAATGGAATATTTGGGAGTAGGTAAACATTTTTTAAAAACTAAAAAAATGGTTATTCTCTTTAAAATTGTTAGTTTAATGATTTCTTTTAAAATAAATCAAATGTCAAGAGCATAAAGTTGAGGGTAGTAATGATATCATTAGGTCATCGTGATCTAGGTGGTCATAGAAAACCTTTGTGCACACCACCGCGATGTTGTGTGGTCTTCCATGTTCATGGTCAATTGTGGTGCACACAACAAAGGGCAACAACCAATAGGGAAAGAAAAGGAAACATGTTCTAGAGCTACGCTCTATAGGAAAGAGAATGAAAATTTTCCGAAATTACCGGTTTCAGTTCCTAGATTTTCACATATTAACAAAACTTATCTCATTTTTTATTATATTTTTTAATTAAAAAAAATTATGTGGAGTGAAGTGGTAGTGATGGATATCTCATATGTTTAGTTATAATTAATGGTGACGTGACACGCAAATATAACATATCATCTTATTAATAAAACGGGTTACTTGTAAGGTATAAATAAAAATATAGGATGAATAGTGTAAATTCTAATTCTCTCGGCCCATCAACCCTACCTATATATACACGCATACGGTACGCACTAGGGTTTAGAGAGTAAACAACATGTGAGCCGCCTTAGAAGAGAAAAGAAGAAAGACGAAAGAGAATTTCTTATTAGACGTGACGTGTTCTTAGATCAGAGAGGGAGATACAGTGAAGTGATGTTGATGGTGGTGCCAACCGAGTTATGTTGCATTCTTTATGGTAAACCCCGAAGAATGATAGGAGTCGATCTATGTAACAGTTAGCATTGAGAAAACCATACCAATGGAAGGTATACATACCGAAGGTCTTGATTCTTCAAGACCCCGTCATCTATATCTCCGACAATAGAATGAGAGCGAGAAAAAGAAGGTGTTTGCCGGTAAAGTTTTAAGCGGTCGAATCCGGCCAAATTTCAGACTGAGGGTAGGCAGCCCCGATTCTTTTCATAGCTGCAAGGGATTCGATCAGTACACATGAGATGTAATCATTCCTATTCGTCTCTCTTCTAAAATTCAAATGAGTGTTTTGGAATAGAGTTTATAGAATTTTTGCGATTATATGAACCGGCCATGATGATATGAAGTGTGTGTAGCCCACGTGATCATGTGAGGTGGTGAACGGGTTTATGTCTTAGTCATGGAATTTCACACGCCATTGTTTAAAGGACAATAAACAAAGTTATCATGCATCTATCGGAAGGTATATACTAATCCTTAGCTTAAGTGTGTCGGCTATAGGATAAAGCATATCTTGGCTTAACTGTGTCGGTTATATGATAAGCGTAATTTGTTCAGAAAATAGTTTTGGGGTTGGAAAAATGAATATATATCTTAATGGTATATACCATTAAGCTTACGTTATTTTCTTGTTATATATATATATATATATATATATATATATATATATTAATTGTCCAATGTTTTCATAATTCAAATTCTAACTTGATTTATTTTCAAGATTTTTAAAAATTTCATCTTTATCTTCTCTTATATAATTTTCATTTTTAACTATAATATATATATATAGCTTAGTAAGTGTTGAAGTAAGAGTAATATCATAGTAAAATCTCGAAAACCTCAAAAGTAAATCAAGTTAGGGGTTGAAGTTTAAGAACATCATAATGAATATATTAAACAAAACGAACTATTAAGGTTAGTTTGGGTACCTAAGCTTATATACCCTTATAAGCTAAGGGGTGTAAACATATATATATATATATATATATATATATATATATATATATATATATATTATTTTTATTTATTTATTTATTTTAAAACAATTAAGCTAAAGGGCGTGGTAACACTCCTGACATCTAAACTTAATATAATATTTATTATAAATTTATAAAACACAAACATTTCATATTAAATTAAAAAGTTACAATAAATTAAAACTTAGTAAACCAAAAAACAAATAATCCATATAACTACCTACCAAACTTCAACCATTGAAGGCATATTTGACTATTTGTCTATCACAAATCTTGGAGCTATATAAAGCTTCCATCACATCACCCGCCTACAAATCATACCATTAATCTCATTTATTCAACATATTTCCATAATTTCATTGAAAAATATAATAATATATATTTGGTGATGTTTTTATAAAAGGTTTATTTTTTTGGAAACCCTACACAACCCAATTCATATTGGAATTGAAAAATAGCTATTTCAACAATTTACCATTTGTAAAGGATTGGATATTAAAAGCATACCGACACTTTAAGCCATGTGATAGTGTAGTGCAAACCAGCTAAATGGAACAAGACATGAAGATTTTCTTTAAAGAAGAACAACACATCTCTGAACCCAAATTGCATTGAGTTTATGTTTTGCATTACATCCAAATAGTGCTTAACCTCAACGGATGCTGATTGGCTTTGTTCAAAAAAGGCAATAACAACATCCACCTTACTAGCCATTTCATGATGTTTATTCACATAAAAACCTCTCCATCCTTACACTCACACATGGAAACTCTTTAGGTTGAAAATGCAAGAAATAGCAACATACTTTCTTTCATTTGCTAGATGTAGTGTCATACTTTTCTTTTATTTGTAGAATATGAGTTTGCATTTTACGAACTCATTAAGTTACCAATTTCTCAAAAGTCTTATGGTTTAATTGTCACTGTAGAAGAGAAGCTAATCAACCCTCGGTATGAGGAAATAAAAACATTCAAGCATATTTCCATTCAAACAAGCGACTATCTATGGGGAGCAAAGATTAGGATATACCTTCAAACTGGAGTTCAAATGTTGTTGCAGAAGTTGATGGGGGATTGAATTCAGAAACCGAAGAAGATTATTCTTTATCGAAACTTTGGGCTGGCCATCTGTCTTTGCTCAAACCCGCCCATATATGATCAGACTCGCAAAGCTCCTACCAAAACTGAGAGTAACTACCCAACGAACACAAATCCAATTCTTTCAAACCCCCAAATTAAATTCATAGAAATTTTCCAAAATCAAAACGTAATTCTTAATTCACAATTTCTCAAAATATAGAAATATCGAACAATTAAGGACATGAAAGGAAGAAGATTAGCGAAAGAAATCGACATACCTGAAGCAAGGATGCGATTTTAAAGGCTATATCGCTTAGAACCCTTAATAGATTGATTGTTCAAATGAAATTGGGTTGGATCCATTGAACGAGAATGTAGCCAATCACAACCTAACAAACTTCCTTTTCTCCTCTCGCCAAACAATTATGGTCTGTGTCTTGTCTTGCTGATGCGGTCGTGTTCGTGTCTGTGAAAGTCTAAGAGATTGAGACGAGAGGTACTTTAGTAAAAGCACGTGGTTATAGTTTTGAAACTTTTATGTATTTATTGTTTAAATAAAACATATAACATTTAATAAGGATATATATATATATATATATATATATATATATATATATATATATATATATATATATATATAGAGACACACAAAGTCGATTTTAAACCCATTAGGTCGGTTCGGTTTTAAACCCAAAATGAATTTTTCGGTTTTGAAAAATTCAAATAAAAAACTGACGGTTTAAGTTTGGTTTCGTTTTTATCAATTTTTTAATTTTCGAAGTTTCGATTTTGTTTAGCCCTAATTATTACCGGTCTAAAAAACAATAAACTCGATGAAAAAGGAATAATGGGTTACGAAACCCGGTTACAAATTATGGCCGGTTAAAAAATAGGGCCCAGAAACGTGAACATTTGGGAAGTCTGTTAAACTTTAAACACGCTTATCAATTATCTTCATAGCTAAACCCTAAATCTAAGGGTTTTGAATTACCCTAAATCTAAGGGTTTTGAATTTCGGAATCGGAGTGAACCGAAGGAACTCAATTAAGAGCAGGATGAACTTAGAGGAAGCGGATCCGGATTATTCTGATTTGAAGAGAGTGGAGCATGCGATTGACGCCATTTATGATAAAAGCGGCAATGACCTTACTTCGGAAGAACTTAGCAGGTATTTTTTTTTCAATTCGTGATCCGTTTTAGGGATTTTGCTATACGTTTTTAGAACAGAAGAGAGTTATGTAATCTGTTTCATGTTTTATGTATTATCTATATATTGCCGGTGGCATTTATGTTTTATTAGATTGTTTAGACACTGGGGAGACACAAGAGAGTTAGCAAACCACGTTACATTGTTATGCATGCTTGTTAAGAACAGAAGAGTGTTGATTTAAACCCTATTACGGTACCCACGTTACATTGTTATGCATGCTTGTTAAGAACAGAACATTGTTGATTCAGTAAGTTTAATCAACTAGTTAGAACAAGAAAGCATGATAGAAGACAAGAGAATTTAGATTGGAATGATCCAATCTACATTGGACGGGTTATTTGATAATTTGATAAACTAATAATCTGAAAAGAAACAAGTTAAATCATCAAAAGCTGAAACCATTTAATTAACAATGTTTAGTTAATTTGAGTAATTAAAGTTTATGAAGATGATTTTCCTACATTCTTTGATATAGTTTATTTGTGAGCTTTGACACCTAATGGTCTTGGTATTTTATATTTCAGGATCTCAGGGAAATTTGTCCAAGATTTTTTTGGAGAATCAGTCTACTCTGGACTCGTATCAATAACAACTTTACACCTAGAAAATGTAGCAAAGTCAGTAGAAGCATCAGAAGACTCAAATTTTCTAGAAGAACTGAGCCAAAAATGGATGGATTTCAATACAGCACTAGTAGAGATAGGTCAAATACTAAAGGGCATGGACCTGACCTTCGTTCGTAATACACGAAAAACTCCGGTCCATGTAGTTTGTCGGAACATCTGGCGGGATAACATCATCAACTCAAGTAACATTGCAATACGCCTTAAATCTACACTGCTTGAAGCAGTTAGAAAAGAACGAGCTGGTATACACGCTGCGAAATTCTTAGTGAGACACAGTGAAGATGCTGACGTACATGGGTAATGCAATCTATAATGATTGTTTTGAAATTCCGTATCTTGTATACTGGTCTACTGATTGCGCTACTGAATCCCGGGTATGGATTGAAACTTTGGATTGTGGTACATATATTGACAGAATTGAGAGAAAATTGGAAGCAGAGATTAATAGGGTGTTTCATTATCACAGTGTAAAAATTAAAAAAGTAAAGTATGAGTTCAGAAAGAAAATGATCGAATGCCACTTGAAACGGTTGCTTGAATCAGAGGAATGGGGATTCATCCATTTGATGAAGGAAGAAAGGTACCTTGAATTAGGAAGATTTTACAATCTTTTATGTCAGTATTCGTCACACCAGAAGTATTCGTCACACCAGATGTTCAAGGCAATGTGCTCTTACATTCAGAAAATTGGGGAACAACTTGTAGCAGATCCCGAAAGGCATCTGAATCCAGTTGGTTTCGTGGAACGGATGATTGATGAAAAGGAAAAGCTTGAAAGGATTATGAGTGTCACATACTACAACAACAAATGGTTCTTGGAACGCCCGATAAACTTGTATAGTTTGGTACCTCAGTTTTCTGTTGGTCTGCAACCACAGTTGCAGGAATTGATCTCGCCAGGACTGTTGAAGATGATTGAAAATGATGACCACCTGAGGATACGAAGACTGTATAATTGCTTGAATACCCATGGGTCTCTCTTAAATCCGATGCAAGATATTCTGTCTTCTAACATTCAGAAAAATGGCTTAGAGGTGATGAATCCCCAATTGTGTAGAGATCCCTCTGTTCTCCTGCATATTTTATGTGATCTAAAAGCTAAATATGATAGTATCATTAAGCATGGATTTGAGAACGATGCAAATTGCCGATGCATGTTGGGTGATTGGTGTGGGCATTTCTTTACATTAGAACCCAGGTTTCCCGAAATAATCTCGTCGGAGTTGTCGAAGATGATTGATGATGATGAGCACCTTAAGATAAACAGACATTACGTCTTCTTAGGAAGCTTTCTGGTTGGCACAAAGATGATGAAAGATGTTCTGGAATCACACATTCGGAAAGCTTGGGAACAACTGATGATGGATGCCCGATGTCGGACAGATCTCTTTGTTCTCGTGCAACTGTTACTCGAGCTAATAGGTAAATACAATGAAATCATCAAGCATGGGTTTAACAAAGATGGGGATTTTCGATGCATATTGATATCTTTGTTTGGGTGTTTCCTGAAATCAAAACCCCAGATTCCCGAAATAATTCCGTTACATGTCGATGACCAGTTTAGAAAAGGTGTGAAAGGGGAAAGTGAATCGGAGCTCATGGTTTTGTTAGATAAAGTCAAGATGCTCTATGATTGTTTAGAGGAAAAACATATCTTTGAAAAATATTACAAAAGACATTTAGGTGCTCGTCTTTTATCAGGAAATAGTTTGACAGAAGACATAGAAATATCCAGGAGACAAGGCATTCGGGAATCTATTTGCTTTAAATGCAGAAAAAATGCTTACTGATATCCAAAATTCAAGAGAGACCATGCAAGGGTTTTACATACAGGCGGGGCGAACCGTATCCGACATGCCCACAATTGCGGTTAATGCTGTATCAGCCTGGCTCTGGGAGACTCAGCCCACCACCCCATGCAACCTACCAGCAGATATCACTGTTCTATCCAATTCATTCTCTAGTTATTATCACCGTGCCAATGAGGGGCGCCGGCTGACGTGGCAAACAGACATGGGGTCTGCCATCATTGAAGCGACATTTGATAAAGGAAGAAAACACGAACTTGAAGCATCAACATACCAAATGTGCATTCTAATGCTATTCAAAAATGCAGACCAGTTGACGTATACGGATATACAAATGGCGGTTGCGATACCTGAGAATGATCTCAAACAGTGTTTATGGTCATTGGTGTTTATACCAGGTAAAAATATCCTTAGGAAAAGTCCAGAGAGTAAGACAATCCAGGCAGGTGATGAGTTTTACTTTAATGAGGAGTTTTCTAGTGAGTCTTATAAGGTGAAGCTTGAGACCACTAACGTACGGAAGCAAACCACACCAGAAAAGGAGGAGATGATTCGGAAGTTGGAGGAGGATAGGAAACCGTTGGTTACTGCAATCATTATGAAGGTTATGAAACAGAAACGAACAATGGAATACTCTGATATTGTGGTTGCTGTTAGAGAGGAGCTGAAGTTAAGATTTAAGCCCACTCATCAATTGTTAAAGAAGGGGATTGCGGTTCTTGTTTCTTTGGAGATGTTGGAAAGGGATAAGGAGAATAAGATGGTGTATTGGTATCAAGATTGAGAAGAAAATGGCCATGATCAATCAGTTTTGTTGCTGTTTTTTTTTTCCCTAATGATTTCAGTTTTTTTTTTCTTTGGTGGTGTAAAAAGGGATTCAGAGATAGTTGCTGAAATGGATTCAATTTTACTTTGACGTACTTGTGTTTTATTTTTATTTGTTTTTTGTGTTGCTTATAATAGCTAGAAGTCATTTTTGTTTGAATTAGTGTTGGGATTTCTTTTAATCACTCCAAAACAGGATATTCCCAATAAAGTTTGAATAATATGTGTTACTGGAAAAAAAAATCTTGGCTGAGAGTGCGGGGCTTGCTCAAGTAATCGGTAATTTGTTGTGCATGATTGTGGCTTCTATCCGTTCGAAATAAAGAAAAATATGCTGAGATCTTTGTTGTCAAACATGTACAAAGTAGGTTGCTAAATGTATCTCAACCCTCATATTGGACCTGACTTATTCTTGCTTTTCAAACATGTACAAAGTAGACAAGTTTAATCGTAGTGAGAAGCAACTTGTTGACAATCAAACATGCTCTTCAACGTGTGGTTGAGGAAATACGGTTTGACTTTAATGATCCTTCTGTCTGTGCAATCAACTAGGTTTGACCATGTTTATTGACTTCAAAACACAATACTTGGATCCCTTAAAAGTTGCTGTTGTAGAATGCGTGCAATGATCCTTCTGTCTGTGCAATCAACTAGGTTTGACCATGTTTATTGACTTCAAAACACAATACTTGGATCCCTTAAAAGTTGCTGTTGTAGAATGCGTGCAGACAACATTAGTTTTGTTTGCAGCAAAATAAATCTCAGGAATTCTTGCGCATATTGGTTTTCAGCAAAATAAATCTCAGTAATTTTCAAGTCTCATCAAACGGTTTTAATTCTCTATGTTTTCAGTTTTAAATGGTAACCTTATGCACAAAGTGGGTGTGGAAAGTATGGGAGTTGGAGCTTTAAAGCTTACAGGTTACCTTAGGGAACAAATGCAGCAGAGAAATCTTAATTTTTCCTCATTATACACAGTGCGCAAGTTGAAATAGGCCTATACTTTTTCTATTACAATGCCTTTGTGCCATTAGGTGAGTCTATAAATAACAACATATCCCATATTAACTTTGCGTCTTTAATTGGTTTTCTATGGTGTGATATGTAGTGGAATCTGGAAACAGTTATCACCCATGGAAGTCTTCATTATTGAATATGGGGTGATAGATGATGGTACTTAATTTCACAACCTCATTTATTAATACACTGTTTTATGCTGCATCAATTACCACATACTTGCTTATATGAGGGTATTTTGGTCCACCAAGTGAAATCTTGAAGACTCTGCGTTTGGCATGCATTGGAGCATTGGACTCTGGGAATGGTGTCAATGGGACAAAAGTTGTCATTTATCATTTCACCCAAAAGGTGGGACAGGGACTTGCCTTCAATATTTTGTCTGTACAAAAGACATAAATACCCTTCTCATCCTCATCACCGAAAATAGCCCGAGAAAGCACATTACATTGTATTGTTCTTATCTGGAAAAGCTTGAGACTTAAATAGTCCATTTTACTGTTGTAACATGTTCTAAACTTCATGTGGCTCAAGTTTTTCCTCATATGGCACTTATATATCCATTTAAAATGCTTGATTTCTATCTCTATTTTAATGTCTATAAAGTAATTACACATGAGGGTATTTTAGACATTTCACTGAACTTTATGCTTCATTCCATTGCAGCTTATGTTCCATGTATCTAATACGAAGCAAAGGACATATCAAAGTTAAAGAACATTGCTTTTGTCTTAATACGAAAGTTTCTTGTCATTTGCTAATATAATGAATGTTTTCATCATTTCTGAAAATTATTAGATTCATTTGTTAAAGTTTGGGCTTATTTTGTATAATATTAGCTTTAATGGTGATTAGTCAAACCGTGGGGCTGATTATGAGAAGCTTAGTAAAAAACATTAAGTGTATTTATGTTAAAGTCTTTTGGTTAAGTGGCATTCATGAAAAATCTTAATGGAACTTTTGTTATCACTTAATAACATTGGACGATTGAAACTAGAATGCTTGTCCGCTGCTAATTTCCAAAATGAGATTTGAGATTAGATTTTTTTCATCAAATGTATTGCAAATGAACTTATGAACAACAAACCGAAAATAAGCATATTTAGATTGACATACATTTTGTTTATTACAAGGTTGCCATGGGTTAAGTTTGAGTTATGCATGTCCCTTTCTAATCTCAAAATGCTAATATCTTTACATCAAAATGTGTTAAATCTTAACCAGTTACCAACAAAACATCCATGGAGGGTTACAATTATAAATATGCGAATGCATATAAAATCCTTTATCACTTTTCTCTAGATTCTAGGATTACATGTTATCTTACATGACATTTAATTTACATTTATGCAAGAATGTAGGGATGAACAGTTTGTCTCAAATCCCGATCACGTACCGGTACCGTACCGGAACCGGTACCGAACCGTACCAAATTTAAAAAGACAGGACGGTACTTGGTACTCCAAATACATGAAATTCGGGAATCGGTACTGCCGGTAACGGTACTAGTACCGAGTACCGGTACCATTCCCGGTACTGGTATCGATGATGTTAATTCGGTTCGGTACTCGGGATTAACTTTCGATCAAATTCGGTATTCGGGAAATCGGGAACGGGACGGGTCGGTACCGGTTTCGTCCCACGCTCATCCCTACAAGAATGGTCTATCTGGTATGTCAAAACTAGCATGTTTGGGCAAAACACGTTTGGACTCGTATTAGTAGTCAAATAGTTTGATTTTGTTGCGAGTTTGGTCTAAAGTGTTTTATACTTTTTAATTATGATAGATTTGCCCTTGGTATTTTCCCTTTTTCAATTATTTTATTACAGAAATAAAAAAAGAAAATACATCTCTCTCTCTCTCTCTCTCAAAATGCTTCTCTTTCTGTATATCTCTCTCAAAATGCTTCTCTATCTGTATCTCTTAGTCATAATGTTTTTTCCATACCATCTGATGATCCCAACAACCACCGACGGAGGTGACGACTAAGGAACTCCACCTTTGAACGTCGATGGCGACTGAGGAACTTTACTTCTGATTAGATTCCCACACCACCGTGATATATCTCTTTCTTTACACATCACCATCTCAGATCTGTTTCGAAACCCTAGCGTCGCTACCCTTCTCATTGGTCGCTTTTCTGAACGTCAATGGCGACGAAGGGTTATAAAGGCAATGCTAGGGTTTGATTCTGATGAAGTGTCACACCCCGAAACCGATGGCGGAAATGCTACGGGGCGGAGGACGTCATGTAAGTATCACAACAAGTGTACATAGTAAGCATAGTAAACACAAAACATTACATTACATATGAATATTTACATTTGTTTGAAAGTAAAGTGATACATGTTTATCTATACAAAAGTTTGAACAAAAGTGAGTCGTGTCTTCTAAAACGCTCCGTCTTCTCCAAAAGATTTCGGGTACCTGTCTAATGTGGACCTGAGAATACAAGTAGTTTGAAAATCAGCATAAAACTGGTGAGTTCATAAGCTGTTTGTTTATGTAAAGCGATCATGTTTCCTTTGGTTTTCTGAAAAGTTGTTATCCAAGAAAATCCCATATTTTCTTATAAAGACAGTTTAGTTAAAGTTCTGAATTTTCGTTCGATACAACAATAGATAGTTTAATACGTAAGACTATATATTAAAAATCCATGGGAATACCATCCAGGACAACAGTAGATATTTTTAATACATAAGAATATAGATTGAAAACCATGGGAATACCATCCCGTACGTATCACAGTAGGTAGTTTTAATACACAAAACTATAGATTGAAAACCATGGGAATACCATCCCGTATCACAGTGGGTAGTTTTAATACACAAAACTATATATTGAAAACCATGGGAATACCATCCCGTATCACAGTAGGTAGTTTTAATACACAAAACTATAGATTGAAAACCACGGAAATACCATCCCGTACCACAGTAGATATAAAGACTATAGATCAAAGATAGATATAAAATCTGTGAATAAACTATATTTTAATATTAATACATATTGTGAGTCGGATAACCATGCTTATATGACAACGAGACCTCCTTGACGTTCTTCAGGCGTCGGACGATATCTAGAATTTGGCACCCCAGGCGTGCCCGCCTAACTGTAGCTAGCAGTTTAGGTGTGGGATTGTCGGTCCCGAATAGATCTATTCACAAATTCCACGCTCTCCCTCCAGGAGACTCTGGTTACACTTCCGAGGAGGATTTACTGATGACCCGAAGGGTTTAATGAAGATAAATCTCACAAGCTAGTATTAAATTATTCACGGTGTACTCGTTCGTTACCAAACATAATAATCGTTTTAAAACAATGAAATTATCTGGCATGATACTTTAAATTAAACAGAGATAAACTGAATCAGACATAGTTTATCTATTAACTTTGCATGAAATCTGTATCCGTAAAACAAGAACTGAAGATCCCAAATTATTCCCATAATATTTTGATTAGTTTGATTGTTTCCTTTACCGTAGTTGAAATCCATGTCATTTGATTCGATAAAACATCCCTAATGCTCCGCATAATACATAAGGGGTAAAGATATCTTAAAAGTTTGCCAGATATTTATGGAATTTCATCAGTTTAAGGTTTCCAAAACATTTATAGTTTGCTTGTATTCCCCCCTGAAAACTAGGGGTGTTAATTTATGACACGACACGACAAAAATACACGACACGAAACGAAATCGGGACGAAATCAAAATTCGAATTTGTTTTCGTGTCGTGTTCGTGTCAAGTTTAAAAAACACGATGTCGTGTCGTGTCGTGTTCGTGTTTACAAATCCACAAGAAATTAACACGATTGAGCATGTATTTGTCGTGTTTTCGTGTTTGTCGTTTTTATCGTGTTATATATGATTAAATATGAATTAAATAAAATAATAGTTATGTAATATTATCTTTGTCGTGTCGTGCCGTGTTGTCGTTTTTTAATTACTTCGTTTTCGTGTTAGTGAAAAGAAACACGACATCGTGTCGTGTCGTGTTCGTGTTACAAAAAACCTTGTCGTTTCGTGTCGTGTCAGACAAAAACACGACACGACGGCCCGATTTGACAGGCCTACTGAAAACATTGAAAACACGGAAAAAGGCGTAGGGGTATGAACTCACCAGTCGAGAAACGAGTCGGTTTGGATGCTAAGTGTTAGTTCGGGGCTTGATAACGCGCGAGGTTCCTATGTAATATGAAATGATACATAATTGTATCTAATTAGACTTTGAACCACTAATTAGATATGAATA